GTGCGGAATAAAAAAAACTTATTCGTAGCTTATGTGTTCTTTCAGACTATATTCTACGATCAAACAAATATCCAGCCATCTATCCATATATTGGCATTTGTAATATTAGTAAGAAGTAAGATATGTTTTTAAAAATTTTAACAATAAACATGGTATTCTATAGCAAGCTTGGAAGTATCCGGGTAGTCACTTTAATGTCGTAACATCGAAATGCGATCAATTGATACCGGTTTTAATGAAATTTTTAATTACAATTCTGACCACGTAGCGGTGAACGAAAAACGTCACATAAAAACTCGCTTTAATTCTTTATTTCGATTGAAAACAATACTACTTTTATAGGAATCTAAAAAGCGATTATTTACTATGGGAATACACAAATGTATTTTTAACATCTATACTAATATTATAAAGCGGAAGAGTTTGTTTCAACGCGCTTATCTCAGGAACTACTGGTCCGATTTGAAAAATTCTTTTTTTTATTGGATAGTCCATTTATAGAGAAAGACTTTAGGCTATATAACATTAATCTGCGACCAATAGTTTTATTTTAATTCCGCGCGAACGGAGTCGCGCGCGACAGCCAGTTTAAAATAAAAGGTAGATCTGCATTCAACACTGATCATTCAAGTGCGAAATTAACTTTAATTAAAACAAACAGTTCCCTTTATACGTGTGCAACATATTGCCCATAACCTGTTGGTAAATTACGTCATATTGTAGACGTAAATGGTTAGTTAAGTTTAAAAACGGTACAAATTATAGCAGGCCAAGTGACCCGTGTGAATATTGCGTTGCATTGATCGCACACATGTTTTTATATTATAACTAGATATGAATCATTGGATTGATTACAATTTAAATCAGCTGGTTTTGAAGATTTTTTTTTATATCACAAGGTGGTAAATGAGCGAGCGGCCACCTGAAATCGCTGAATAGCGAAGTGACCGTTGCCCATAGACATACGCAATTGCATATGCATTGCCTACCTTTAATCGACGGAGGAAAGGATGCACAGAAAGAAAATATTTTCCCTTTCCATGCATCCTCTCATCCGGAAAGTCCACTTCCACTTCCCTTCATTTCTTTATAAGAAAAAGGGTGGTAAGGGTAAAAGAGGACTAAATTACGTCTCCGGGACGCACACTCATCAGACGAAACGCGGAATTGCTTCTACTTCACGCCTGTCTTCTGTGTGGTCGTGTTATTTCACCGGGCGAGCCCGGCCAATTCTTACGATGTTTTAGCGGGCTCTACCACTGTTTAATGTAGTTGAAGCATTTGTATAAATATTAAAAAACAAACTCGATACGTAATGCCTTAAAGCGATGCGCGTAATGTATATTTAGAGCATTGGTTACATCTGATTAATCAAAATATTATAAGAGAACTGGTTTGCACTGATCTTTTGAAAGGTGTTACGTATAATCCGATAAACAGTATCGAACTGTTCCTTTTACCAACGTAACTTCTCTTACGAAACAAAGAATTAACATTCGTCTAGTATATCAAATTATAAATTATTTTAAAAACTTCGCAAATATACTGTAATATTGGACGAAATTATATCGGTAAATTAATTCGAGAAAGTTTATACAATTATCATTCTTATTAAATTCTTAATAAATTGAAGTTAAAGAACTACTTTCTAATCAAAAATTTTGATTATTTACAATCAATGGTTTTTTTTACCTAAATTTGTCGTAAAGCTGTAAGCTTAACCTTAAAATAACTAAAAGGTAGTTTAAACTGATATATAAACACGGCTAAACACTCACGTATATACGTCCGGTGGCGGCACCGACTAGTTTCGAGCCCATCGGGGGCCCTTCATCAGGATGAGTCATGACTTCATCAGATGAGAGTGTTTAGCCGTGTTTATATATCAGTTTAGTATAATGTCTCACGAAAGTTTGAATAATTGAAAGGTAGTTTTTTTAAGGGTAGACGAGTTTACTTTTATAGTATAATATGAGAATAATTTTCACATACATTGTATACCGGATGTACTGAAAAGTTTTGTTAAATGAAAAAAGTGATATACAAATTGAAAATACTATATAATTACAAGCTTTTATCACAGATCTAAACTATGTTATGGTTCTGACATTTTTTTTCTATTTTATCCGAATTTTTAATTAAGTTAAGTACCTTTTGGTTGATTACAAAAAAAATGTGATAAACTGAAATTTATTAAGAAGGCTACGTTTTAGTCTAGAGGTAAATATAAATATAAAAAAATATGTTGTGACAGTATTATTGAATCGATAACCGTTATCAGACGTAAACTTCACGATAAATAAATGATTATAATTTCAAGGTACAATTTATAATTAACAATGAAAATGTTTCTGTTAATTAAGAAATAGGTATTTAACACGAAGTGAGTCATTTTTTACAAATGACAATGACACAAAAAATGTGTTCATATATCATACTTCATGCTAATTAAAACAAAAATCGAATGTTGGATCGATGGATGTTTGTTTTAAGGTATCTCCAGAACGGCTGAACGGAGCTCGATGAAATTTGGCATACATATACATAGTCTAAAAGAACACATACTCATATTTTTTTTCATTCCGCGCGGACGGAGTCTTAGGCGACGTTGATGTTCCATAAAAATGTTTCGAAATGAAAACCAAAGGGTATTAACTCTTTGCTTACCTACAACATTTAGTTAGCCCACCAAAGAGTATCTACTGCGCTAAAATTCGTAAATTCCTTAAGTATAATCTTTACATTGAACATGAAATTAAAGCACATTATTTTATCCAGTGCCAGTAATTAAAAAACTATGAGGTACGGAACCCTAAAAAGAACAATATGTAACAAAATGTACTTTGAAGGCTAAATAATTCCTTAGCACAGAGTATCGTACTATAAAGTCATATGATACCTCCTTGCAATTCACGGATACGTTAATGCGATCACAACAAGGTGAAATTACGAATTGGTTATAAGTGAAAAGAATAAGAAAATATCGATACGTTGTACATTGTAAACACGGCACATTAAGGCCGGTGAGTTTGCGGAGGAATGTAGGCGAGAACAAAGAGATACTCAGTATCGGAAACAGTTAGCCCCACTTTTGTGGCTGGTCAAGTCGATCGCAAGGCGCGCAAAATAAGCTTTTATTAACCAAATTAATGAGCCATGCGCTTCGGAAAGAGAAAACGTCAACAGACAATATGAAACTAAATAATGCACTTTGGGGGTTCTAAATAATATCTTATTAATATTATGAATGTTTAGATGGATGGATGGATGTTTTTTGAAGGTATCTCCGGAACGGCTCAACGGATTTTGATAAAATTTAGCACACATGTAGAACACATAGACTACTTATTAAGTTTGTTTTTAAATCCGCGCGGACAGATTCGCGGCCAACAGCTAGTTATGAACAAATAACACATCAATTATCGCTATTAGCATCAGAGATGTTGATATTAAGAATCTATGTTGTTATAAATATCATTATAAAATCTTTCACCAAAGATATTACACAATAGTTGTATTTGAAAACAAAAGTTTGAAGAAAGAAAAAAAATTCAATTCTTTCAAACGATTGATAACAAACTGACACAATAGAAGAATTCTTCTTAGCTTACAATTAATTTGTTTGAATCATGTATGCTTTTAAATATAACTCATGAGTTGGTTTTGTTTTGGGCATATGTAAGTACACTGCAGTACTGGTCGTGTCCCCGATTTGTCGATACGTCGATCATATTAAGTCGTTTCGTCGTACAAGGCGAATACGACCGAATTCCGAACATATGACGTGTATATTTCGATTCAAGTATCTTTAAAATATTGTCATTGGTACTGTATATAATTGTTTTATGATAAATAAGCTACCTTAACCACAATAAGCAAAGAACAGCATCATAAGTGGAGCAAGGAATTTAACCAGAAACGTCCTTAGGAGCTTGATATACAGAGTTTGAATGATCGGTTCAGTTAACATAACCTCAACTCAAATTTCAAATGTAATGATACGCGAGAGCTGAACAAATTCTTAGCCCTTATATCGAGAGATAAAATTATATTGTTCATACATTTATTGGGCTTACCTACTTTTAAAAAAGTATTAATAATTGCGTTACTGACAAACGAATACTTAAATTTTTTTTTAAAGCAAACAAAACAATCAATTCCTAATTCGGATGTAAAATTATCATTGGTTATTTAGTAGTTGGAAATCCAATTAACCTTGAATTATTGTCTAAAAATTGTCTTAACTGTGTCCACTCCGCTACTACAAGGTCTTGATAGTTTAATATATTAATCTTTCTTTCAGTTATCTCTTGAATTTAAATGCAGTAATATTAACCGATTAGTCATGAGATGAATGTTGCAATTAAAAAATATCTTGTAACCATTTTACCGGTAGAAGACTTCCTGCTTTTAGTAAAGACATAAATTAATCTTGTCGTAAGAGCAGTACTTACTATTAAGTATGCATTAAAATGAACAGTTACAGTTTACTGGACTTCGATTATGAATGCTAAATAACATAGTTATTCTAAATCCTATTTCTATATCACTATTTCTTCTCTTTTCGTTCAATGTTTGAAATACATATCATTTTGTTGGATGGTATTCAAAACCTGTATTACAAATTCAAATATTCACGCAACTTCCAATGTGGAATTAACTTGTAACGAACAGTATTTCCTAATAGATAAACTCAAGGGCTTAAAAAATATAGACCGGCAGCCATCTTGAATATGGCACGTGGTATATTCTAGATAAGTAACCAAAATAAAAATATGATTAATAAACTATTCAGATGCTCCTTGCACCCTATCTGATATTTCCGAAGATTCGACAAAGACGATACAATTACAATAAATATAGCACATATAGAACTTAAGAAAGAGATTTTGGCCGTTAATTTATTGAACAAAGCTCTAAATTTCACAGACGTAATGCTTAACAAGAGTTCATAGTTTAGTACCTTTAGAAAAGAATACGTAAAATGGAGAGTGACTTACCCTGTAGACTGGGCGCTGACGCAGGCGCGGCTGGCGTCTGTTGGTGTGGCGTAGGTGCTGGTCTTCGCCTTCTGGGCAAATGCAAGCCGGGTGCGGAGGCCGCTCGCGTCGCGCTGCGGAACCCGGGCGCCCGGTACCTCGCTGATTTCACCGGCCCCGCCAGTACTGTGTTTGTGCCCGTGATGGAAGGTAATCGCGGCAGTGAACCAGCACGCTCTTCTTCTTCAGACTGTATACAAGTTATATGGTTATTAAGAAAATCGGATAGTTAAATTTATTTACTAAAATATAATAGTGTGTTTGATAGCAATGAACATAAAAAGGTCAAGAGTGTCAAATATAGCCTTAAAGAATTTAAAAAAAAAATGGTAATTGGTAGAAATTTTATACCAACGAATCTTGCCTAATTAATACAATGAACTAATTTTATTTTACAGTCTTATGTTGTTGATTTGTTGCAAAATTTTAATTCAGACATGATTGTGTGTCTGAACTTTATATTACATAAAATATGACATTGACTGATAATATTTTGATCAAACACTTATGTGTGAAGTTGTAAGGTGAAATAAACATTAGGTAACACATTACATTTACAGTGTACTCACTATTTGAATGCGTACTGTCTGCGATGTTATCGCTTATTGTAGTTTTACGATATATTGTTTATGATTGTGAGATGTGTCTGTCATCGCTCATTACTTACTTGACGATACATAGGTACATACAGGAATCAATACTGAACTTGATTGAAAATAAATATTATTTAACATTTAAGTATTTATTGTACACACCTCAGCGTCGGGGGCAGAAGCCCGCCGTCTGCCGCGCCACAGCCTGTCCTCGCTACCCGCAATGGCACCACAACTTCTAGAATGTGACTTCTGTGCGGCCAAGTCCGCCCCGGCTGGTGATCTCCGCGACTCACAACTAGGCCCACCCAACGTGCCTCGCGAATCAGCGGCCAACAAGGCAGATTCGAAACTACCCCGCCATGAAAACCTTTCGCAGTCGCTAGCCACGCTTCCTCTGCTCGCTGTCGCCTCTAGAATATCGTGAGATCGACTCCTCGCCAACGCACCCGGTTCTGACGCACTGTCGTCATCCGTACTGGGGGACGCGCCGCCCGACACTTCATGCATCAATGCAACCAGCCGCCCGCCTATATGTCTCATTACTTTCCCGAATAAGGGTGGGGACCCCTCCCCTGCACGTCCTAATGTAGCCGCCAACTTCTGGTACGCCCCAACCGCGTCACGCTCCAGCGAACCAGCGTCGTTACCCCGGTCGAACTCGTCGATTATTTCCCGACAGCTGTCCGATATTTGTTTTCTTAATGCTGACCTGTTAGCCGACGTGCCCTCTAGGTCGGACCCCGCATAGTCGGACGAGTCGTAGGAATCGCTCCAGGTATCTTCACTCGATAAGTATTCAACTATTTCGCGAACCTCTTCGTCGCGAATACCGGGCACCGTTTTCATTAATCTAGTCAACTCAGTTTCAAAATATAAAAGTTGCGGTGGTTTCGGTGGTCTCGAGCTTTCCGAATTCGTCGAGGCAGGGGTAGACGTCCTAACGTTTCCTGAATTTATCATTTGTTTAAAGAACTGTCTCATCTTTGTCATCATAAGATTGGTTTCTTCGTCGGATGACCAATTGTTAAAGCTATCTTTACGCGTCAAGGGACTCGGCGGCGGACGGGAGGACGGTGGGCGTTCGACACGTTCGTCTAAATCAGGTCTCATCTCTTCGACGATTTCTTCCAACTCTGTTTTAGGCTCATGAGATCGGGTAAAGTCAGCGCTCGAATCGCCGTTTCTGAGAAGATCGTCGCAGCTACCCACGAAACCACTATCTCTACTAGTTTGTTTTTTAGATTCAGATAATTCAGATCCGAGCGGTGGGAATTCGGGTCGAGGCGTGGACCTGCCGTCCTCGCCCTCCGAAACAGACCTTGTGTCATCGCGGGCTTCTTCTGAAAATTCCATCGACTGTCGCCTTTCATCTGCGGGGGACCCTCTTGTTTTTTTGCTTTGCTTCTTTCTTTTTGATTCCCCTGGCATATCTAACCTTTCTAGAGACTCGTGTCTATCTTCCGTTTCCGTGCTGGATCCGTCCGACACTTCCTGCGCATCTTGAGAAGGTTCGTCGCCCGCTAGTAAGTTATCCAAAGAAGAAGAATGAGATCGAGGCGTACCGCGAGCGCGCACTAACCTTTTTCGCCGCTGTTCTGGGCTTTGTTTACCCTCACTATCACTACCAACACTGCCGGACCCGTCCGAATCACGTCTCTCTTGATTGAAGCCCATGAAACCGGATAAGAAGTATTTTTCCAAACGCGACGACACGAGTTCGTCATTGTCGTTACTCCGTTTCGGTTGTTCACTGTCCACAATCGATTCACCACCTTCACTACATACACTAGACGTTTCCGAAACCTGGTCGTCATCTTCGCGAACGTTTCTTCCGTCACCGAGACCAAAGAAAAAATATTTTTCTAGTTCAGTGGCCGATATGGGTCTAGATTTCTTCGTATTATTTTCCGCTTCGCTTTCCTCGCAGCTTTCTTCGACGATTGTGTGTAAAGTGAAGTCTAAAGAACGTCTGCAGTAGGCAAAGTCTTCTCCTCGGGTCGGAAGTGAGGCTTCGTCGCCAGAATCGCTGTCTGAGGTAGTGGTAGCGTCCTCGTCATGGCTGACGTCCTCGACCCACGAGTCATCGTCTGCCAGCCCCTCCTCGAGGCAAACGACAGCCGAGAGAGTGTCCGCGTTGCTAACAACAGTCACTCCGCCCGAAGGCTGCGTAGATTCGTCGTCAGAAACTCGTTCGTTTGTATCGTTTTGCGAGGTTGTTGCGCTGGCGTCGTGTTCCAGTACGTTTTGGGAGTTGGTGTGGTGCACAGTGATGTCCCGCATGAGCCGCGTCGTGTCTGACGTGACTACGGAGACTCGGTCGTGCGTTATCATAACGCGGCTAGTGAAGCGCGCGGACCCGTCCGCACCGGGCGAGCGCGAGCGGCATACTGGTGCGAGTACAGGTGCGCCCGCGCTCCCCTCCGTGACGCCGCGTGCCGGTTGCGCACCGTGTGTTTTCTCCTCCCCTTGCTCCTCCAATAATTCTTTCTTCAATAGTTCACTGAGAGTTCGTTCAATTCCTTTGAACAGGTCTATTTTTTCTACGCCCGCCGATTTTGATTCATCGGGTTTGGGCTCAGGGGACGGCAAAACGACAGGTGGCTCGCTTTGAATTCCACAAGTTTTGTTGTCGCATACTTCGTCTTGTAATTTCACCGTAACTTTTACTTTTATACTATTGTCAGAATTAAAACTATTATCCAACGAATCGCACTCCAAGTTTTCCGATACGGTACTTCTACTTTGATTATTATCGCAGTTCTTGTAATCACAATTATCTATATTAGTGCTGGAGCTGGCATTAAAACTGTTGAATTCTTCACACGTTTCACTACGAAGCATATTGTCACTACAAAACTTTGTAAAATTGGACCGATTTCTGGCGTCGTCACCACTTTCCTCGTCACTGTTATTGCCATAGGGAATCTCGGAATGTTCATTGGAAAAACTTATAGATTCAACTAAAACAATATTACTCGCTTCATTGACCTGCGGTACATTATCGTTTAAGTCTGCTTCTAAGTTATTTGCATTCTGCACGCCTTCCAAGCCGATTATTTCTAAACTATCAGACTTTTTGTCATAAGAATCGTCGCAATCAATTCCGCTACTGTCCGCATTGTCTTCCAAATCCGACGACGAATCAGCGGGATTGACAACAAAGACGCGCGAGAACTGTCCCCCACCGCCCCCTGAATCGTCAGAATCCTCGTCGGACGTAGCAGGCTCCTCAGGTGCGCCGCTCCTGAAGTCGTAACTCAAACGGGCGACACCACCCTCCGAGTCACTGGAGTCGGCGGACTCGTTCGAAGACGGGAAAGCGTTTTCGGCCTCGAGATGGCCCGGCATGGCTTCCTCTGGTTCCGGTGACACAGATAAACGGTCCTCCTCGGCGATCACCTTAATGTCGTCTGACGGTTCGCAATCGATTGTGCGTTCGACCGGCTTATCGTTGTTATCGTTCGCGTTATCTGGTGCGTCGGGGGCTTGTGACGTTTCCGATTGTATGGCTTTATCGGTGCGTTCGACGGTCATCTCGAGTTTGTTGGCGAGCGGCAGCGTGGAAGCGGTGGCGGCGCTGGCGGCGGCGGTGACGGCGACCGCGGCGGCCGTGGTGAGCCGCGCGAGCGCCGCGGCATCGAGAGGCGGGAACCCCGGGTAAGTGCTCCAGTGGGGCGCGGGCGGGGTCTGGCCGGGGAAAGCAAGCAGGGCCGGCCACAGCGCAGCGGGCACGGGCACCGGCACAGGCACAGGAACGGCCACTATGCGCGGCTCGGCACCGCACGAGCAGGTGCGCGGACAGGCCGGCGCCGCGTGCCGCGGTGGCGGCGCGCTTGGAGGCACGGGCACTGGCGCGGCACCGGGCTCGAAGTAGTCCCAATCGCAGTCGTCAGGCGCGGGGGGCGCGGCTGAGGAGGCGGTGGAGCTAGAGTCCTCGGTGTCCTCGCGACACGACGAATCCGAGCTGAGGAACACGAGGCGGTAGTCCTCGGGCCGCATGCGACCGGCCTCGGGCTCACTCGCCTCGCCCGCCTCACTCTGGACGCCCCAATCTGTAAAACAATATTGATTAAATACTATCTTGTGTTGTCATTTATTTGTGTTAATTTAAGTATGTTTTTCTAAACATATTATCTAAGCACAATTACTAATTTTGCCAACCAATCAATAATCCAGAAACCCAGTGATTTTCTTTTCATGTCATATAATGTTATAACTTTCTATCGAGAAGATTTAAACAGTTACTTACAGTTTCAAATAATTTTTTATTAAGGCTTTAAACTGAACCCATAAAATTATTTGCCAATCTTATTGAATAAAATAAATATTAAAAATTAAAAGTAATAAAGAGCGCCTACGAATTCGAACTGAGCAATGTTTGCAAGTTAAAGAATGTTCAAATGGTTCCTTTTTGAGTAGGCGTTCGTATGTCATAACTTGTTATTACGAAGTACATACATATTTACCACGAGTTCTCACTGATGGACAAATTAATAAGTTTGCCAGCAATGGAAACTCAGTAGTACTCACTTACGGTAAGTCAATAAAATCTAATTAGCATGATAATATATTGTAACTGAGGGTCTATTATGAATGTTTGCGTAATGGTTGCGAAAACAGATTCTTAATGTCATTGAAAACAAATGTATGAGATTTGTTGATGAATTTTAAACTCGCTGCACTACTGCGCTTGATTTTACGAAAACTTTGTGACATATTTTGATTATAGGCAGAGTAAACATAATAACAGTTTTTTATAACATCATGTGATTGTCGAAAGACTAATTTATTATTCTATAACAGTTTTCAGTTGCATAATGTACGACAGGTTCTGAGTATCAAGATGGTAGTTCTTTGTTCAACAAGATTGTACGCACGAGATATGTACGAATTGGTCAAACTCATGTTTTACGTTAATCAATGTTTTACAAAATAACTTAATAAAAATGAACAGTTAATAGCGCTTATCTTTTAAAAACATCACATAAAATACGATAAATAAATGTTAAAATACAAAAGTGTTAGTATTAATATGTTATTCGTGAGTTATGTTTTAATTATTGTAATTGGTCAAGTAGTTCCGCGCGAGAGTCGCGGAATGCCATGGCTAAAATGGTAGTGGACGCATCTGATGAGTAGAAAGCACCACGGATGGGTGACCGCGCGGCGTGACTTGAAAGCGATTCACCACACGAATGCTATCGATAAAATGTACTAAACGCATTAAAAATATAGTTTTAGAAATCAAAACAAATTAAATACATAACTTTATTATTATCAATATTATAAAAAGTGATTTTGTTTGACTGTCAGAGATTTATACAAAAAAAGCTAGTTTTCCCCACATTTTAGTTTTGTCTTCTTAATACAATAACATTAATAATTCGTAAAATATCATTAAATTTATATTAAATATTCAACACTGTTTCGCAACAATGAACAATTTGTTAACCACTTTCAAAGAATTAATGCAATTACAGAGATGTTCCGGTACGGATAAATGTACGAAATGATTTTCTCTATCGCTTCCTACGACGAAGATCTCTCTGGTATAATTCAATACCAATAAAGAAATTACATTCAGCCAGGAATAAATTATTAGAAAACAAAACAATAAACATTTAATACTAAACTAAGTGTTAGTTATTAAACTAAAATAGCAATCTTAATCCGCTAGAGATTATTAACTTTAATAATTGCAACAATTATTTTGACAGGAGCTCTTTAAATTTCTTAAGTCGCTTTTTTCTGTTTATTTTGTGTACTTTAGACAAATATTCGAATATTCTGTCTTACTAGTACATAATTGTGCTCATGTTTTTCATCTTTAAGTAATTTAATTCGAATTACAACTGCTACATATGAAACCTTATAATTTTACACTGTAATGTAAGAGGGTTATCTTTTTTTATACAATGTTTCAGAGCACATGTTACTGACAGGTGTCGCGGCATACTTAATGATTAACCCTTAATTCGATGGTGTCCAGTGTGACGAACAACTAATTAAAAAAAACTATTAAACTAGTTTAGAGAAAATTACGTAAGTATGACTAAAAAAACATATTTTTTACTACAAAAAATTTCGTCGAATTAAACGTTAAACACTAAACACATGTTAAATCAATTGTTCATACTAACGTTTAAAGTGGAGTATATTATATATTTTATTTAAAAGGCAGGGCAAAATAATTTTTAAGGTTCTATTCTTGACATGGTTTTTGATATCTGCTTCGAATCATTTGTGGGAATAAACGTGTAAAAAATAATTACAGCTTTTCAAAGTTGGAAAAAAAAATATTTTAAGAAAGTGTTCAATAATTATTTTTTATTATGCTTTTATGTTGCCTAATCTAAAAAGACACCACGATACGAAACCCTAACCATTAGGCTTGATAAAGAAAAACACATAACATTTAATAAGTTTAGATCTATCGAAAATAAGGGATCGTACTTTGAGATAAAAAGACTAAAATTCAAGCCCTCTGCCTTACAAAGCTTTTGATCCGTCTATTAACACCAATACTTAAATTATAAGGTGTATACCAGTTCCGTCATACAAATGGTACAATGTTTTATTGGTAAGAGCTAACATTATTTTAAAATGTTGATAATACTTTTATCGTACTAAATAACAGTTCTATAGTTTTTTGTCTATTTGTGGGTAAATTTTGTCACTTCATCATTGATTATTGATTATTTATTTCACGTTCCTCATTCATGTCTGATCTGATGTTTTTACTTCGTCATAGTTGTGTTTATTAACAAATTTTTTATAACGGCGATAGAATTGTCTTTGAACTGTCACTATTATAATGTCTATGACCAATTTAATGAATACAACTGTTATTTGTCGATTTTTAAAGGATTTAGAATTGGAGCAAATATTTTATGCTATATATTAGCAAAAGCGAGAACTTAGTTGCGCACCTAATATTATATGACTTAACCCAAGAGAGCCAAGTATTCAATCCTTGTTCATATGAATCAAACTTCTAGAATGACATATAAACACGGCTAAACAATCACGTATATTCATCCGGTGGCGGCACCGACTACATCTAGCCCATCGGGGGCCCTTCATCAGGATGAAGGGCCCCCGTTTCGTGAGACATAAAGTAAACGTTACGTTAAGTAAACAGAAAGTTTGAATAATTTAAACTCCTAGTAGTAGGACGTTCTAGGACTTTTAAGCTTTACTAATTATATTAATTTGCTTGTCGTAGTACTTTAGGAGCGATTCCTTTTTCAAACAAGTAAATATGCTTCACCACGTGTTATGAATATAGAATCAGTTTGTCCAGTAGTAACATGGTTACTTTGCTGACTTATGTATAAATATTGAAGACGTCAATAGATTTATAATGGAACGCAGCGTCTTACGTGACTTAAAATTGAAACACAAATACACTAGCAACCATGCTATCTTCACTCAACTTTGTGCGTGATATTTTTAATCTATGACGTGTATTTATTAAAAAAATATCATGAACCCTAGGTATTTAGACATTCCGGTAGCTTTATTTATCTCACCAAGGTAAGGTTCGTTAGACAATAGGTTGACACACAAAATTCCTATTATGTTTATAGTTTAGGTTTATGAAAGTCTACGTAAATAATTATAACAACGCCCCATTGTCTTTCTATAGAAGTATGTTACAATTACGCAAACATAAGCTATTACGTTAGCATGGCCTCCAATTACGTATACGGGCAAAGATATTTAAGTATGTATAGAAATGATCGGACGTCCTTATTCTAATACAAACATAATCGGACAATGAAAGTAAGTTTGGCCAATGTTGGCGCAAACCCAAGGCTTGCTTGCCAAGTTGTTTGGACGTGGGATGTAAGGAGGCTGTCGAGGTCAATCGCTCCATATTTTTGTCTGTCTGTTTACTTAGTTACGAAGCTAATAAAGCGACGTGGGCTGATAAATTACAATCTATACTGGAGACCTACATCTAGTCTTGTTGAAGTTGCATAAGCAATGCCTTTAACTAAATTTTCTTATTCGATGTCACATTATAATTATAAATTGCAAATTTATCTTATTTAATAGGTAAAGTAGCTATTACATAATTTGTTTTTTTTTTATAAGTTTGTAAATTTAATTGAATTTTATTTCTCAACGAAAATCAGTTACCGTGGGATTCCGAGACAAAAATCGCCGTTTAAAACATATTGTTATCTCGGCTTTGTTAAAGATAATGACAGGGATGACGATATGTTATATACAGAGTTTTTGGTCTCACAAACCAACGGTTAGTCTGTTATTACTATTGTTACTTCAACAAATTCTTTTATATACGTAATCTAAGTAGTTGTGTAGATCCTCATTTTTTATCATAATACGTGCTTTATCTGTTAAACGTTAGTTAATCTATGAACACATTTTTACATATTATTTAATTTATTTCTTACATACAAAATGTTCTAAGGAAGTTATAAATATTGTATATTTATACATCCTCTCCAGTATTGTAAAGGAAATTGTACTCTAGTTAAACAGGTTTTCATTGTGGTTGCGCGAGTAAACCTTTCAAATATGGCTACGAAAGTACAAACAACGAGATTTAGTACAAAACTTAGTGTTACAAATATCTGTTAAAAAGGCCCTTTAAAAAACAATAATCTCAGCAAGTATATTACTAATATTATAAATACAAATGTTTGGATGGATTTTTGTTGGAAGACGTAGAACATAGTCTGGAAGAACACATGGGCTACTTATTAAGTTTCTATTTTTAATACCACGCGAATGTAGTCGACAGTTAGTATGCTTTTATGATTATAAATACTAAATTAACCTAACCTAAGTCGTAATACTGAGAATGATATTCGTAATCACTGCTTACCCCTTTGTCTTGTGTGTTTCTTTATTATTACTTAACAGCTATTTTTCAGTAAGTTTTAATTATAATTGCATGTAAATCTTTATCGATAACGGAAAACTTCGCATAAAATTTTTGACGTGAACCTCAACCGCTTTATTTGGGTTGGATATCCAGGTCGTTGGTTTTTATAAGAATTGCGGTATTACTTGATATATA